CTTTTTCCAAGCTATTGACTCTCTTTTTCATAATTCTCTTTTGTCACTCTCATTTCTTTCCCCAATTTTTCTTCTACCTCTTTTATATGATTTTTAAGCTCCTTTTTGAGCTCTTCCATGAGTTCTTTTGGGGCTTGAGGCCACTTCCTGTTTTACTTTGACATTTTGCCCATAGGTGTTTTGACATTGTTGTCCTCTTCTGAGTTTGTGTCCTGGTCTTCCCTGTCACCATAATAACTTTGTAAGGTCAGATTCTTTTTTGGTTGTTTTTTTTGGCTAGTCTTTTTTTTTTTGGCCTTTTCACTTTCTTTTAAATTTGAGCTTTACTCCAAGGGGTGGAGAGGACATTGTCTCAGGCTTCTTGTGCCAGGGGCTGCATGCCCTGGTGCTGAGCCTAGGTCCTACTGCTGGTGCCTGACCTCAACCCTGGCTATGCCAAGACACGTGATGGGTCCTGGTGTTGGCATTTGTCTGCTTCATCACACTGGGGCTCAGATCTCCTGCTGGTTTGCTGAGGTGGATCTTGCTGCTGACTTGCTGGAATGCTGCTTGTCCTGGACTGTGCTCCCCTTTTACTTGAGTGAGACAGACCTTTCTTGCTGATCTTCCAAGTTCCTTGGGCTAAAAGATTGTTTCACCTCATGTTTTTTGCTGGTCCTGCTGTTCCAGAATTTGTTTGGGAGTGCTACTTTACTAAGATAAAGGACACTGGCTTTTAGAGTTTGTTTGTTGTTTTTTTTTTTCCTGGAAAACTCTTAGCAAAAATCAAAGCCCCTATTCTTCTCCCTGGAAACAGAGCTGAGTGAAGCTGAATCTTATTAAAATAGTTGTTGATAAAAAAGCAAGTGAAAAAATTCTTAGGAAATGTGAACATATACAAATGAATAGCCTGGGGCTTTTACAAATATAAAGCAGATAAGTTAAGTCCCTTATGGAGAGAAACCTAGTTCATGGACCAGGGTAAAAGGATAAATGAAAGATATTTTGAGGAGGAAGAAATGACAAGACTTGGCAAGTGAATGAATGTGAAGGGTGAGGAAGAGTTGAAAATGATTCTTAGGTTGTAAACTTGAATGACAGGAAGAATGGTGGTACTCTAAGTCCTTAGCCTTTCCTTTTATATAGTTGGGAGGTCTGTATATACTTATAATTCTTATATACATATAATTCCACATATAATTCTTGTGAATTAATTTATCTAAGCATTTCCAATTGGACAACTAGTTGAAAGACATTTTGTTGGGGGTGGTAGGAGGGTAGAGAGGAAAAGGAGGAAAGAACCTTTGGGAAGCATCATGAGGAGGACAAAAGGAAGCTAAGATTGGAGGGGGAAGATGCTGAAGCCAGCCTTAGAGTATCTAGGATCCTAGATTTAGAGTTGGAAGAGACCTTAGAAGCCATAAAGGTCAATCCCTTCATTTTTATAAGTGAGGAAACTAAGGCCCAAAGAGGTTGAGTGACTTGGTCAAAATAATTTTGTCTTCTTTATAGATTTACATTGAGTCTTCCATGTCCTTGAAGACAGACAATAGAGACTGGTTATGGGATTATTTTAGAACATTAAAGTTCTGTATAAGAATTATCTTGAAGAAGCTTGAAAACTCTTAATTGAACTTATATTGACTTATGTTTTAATATTTTACACTATAAATAAATATACCTATGTGTGAGTAGTGTTGCAATGGAATGGAATGGAAAAGTATTAAGAACTTACAATATGCTAAGCACTGTTTTAAATAAAATATAAAAAGTATTTATACTTTGGTTTAGTTTTATGAGGTATGAAGTTCTTCAGCAAAGTCTGATGGAATTAAAGGGTAGACAACCATTTGCCCACTAAAGGGAATGCAACACTCCTAGTGGTCATTTAAAAACCAAGATGCGACTTCTGGGAGGCACTAGCCAGATACGTGGGCATGGACAAGAAATTTAACCTCTTTAAGCCTCAGTTTTCTCATCTGTTAAATTGAGAAAATAATGTTGTAAGGATCAACCAAGAAAATGTATGTGAAAGCATTCTGAAAAGCATAAATCCCTATGCAAATAAAGTGGAAAGAAGAACGGCTTTGGAGGCAATGGACCTGCATTCAAATCCTTTCTCTTCCATCTGTTACCTCTGGAACTTTAGGCAAGTCATTCAGCATCTCTAGACTTCCATTTCCTCATCTGTAAAATCAGATCGTTATTATAGATGTCCTTTATGGTCCCTTCCTACTCTAAATCTACAACAGTATGATTATTAAAGGGCTGTGACATGTTTGTGCAAAGAGAATAATATGGGTAAAATGGAATTCAGAATGACAGAATCATGATCAGGTTAATGAAGAGATGGAGAAAAAGAGCAAAATGTACATGGCAGGAGCCAGCCAAGAGTCATTCTATAACCACTGAATTGGAATGTAGTGTGGTAAGTGACTGTCCCTACATTCCACAAGAGTGAAATCAACAATGGGGCAGAAATGGTTAGGTGGATGCACTGTGGCCTACCACTAAGGCGCAAAGACACAGGAAGTGGTGAATAATTGAAAATTCAGGGAGATTTCACAAATTGCAGAATAAGAGCCCCAGGGAAATGGTAGATAAGATGTTGATAACTGGGCTAGAGAAATCAGTAAAAGAAAATACACAGCCAGAACAGTCTTGCGTGGATTTCTGGAATATGGCCTACTTGGGTGCCAAGCCTTCCTTTTAAAGCAGATTTTTAAAAAAATCATGATTCATTCTCTCGCTCTTTTTCTGATGCCTGTCACCATAAGATTCTGGGTCAAACCCAGAAGGTATGGCTGAGAGTTGTTTAATGAGACTTACATTCCTTTCTCCAAGGAGAAGAAAGAGGCATATTTAAACCTGCGTAAGTCAGGAGCCCACTCAGTGTCCACATTTTCTCATTGTGAAAGTGCCCAGTTGAAAGCTTGCCTAGAATCAGACTCACCCTTTTTAAGTTATGATTTTTTTCCCCTTATGTCAATTATTTTTTTTAATTGTTCTCTGACTTGCTGCTATGCAAATAAGAAGGAAGGTGCCTAGTAGAAGCCTGGAAGTTCTCAGTCCCTCCCTTTCCACCACACCCCCATCCCTGGCCCCCAGTTGCCCAGTGAGACCTTGTGACTTTTAATGATGTCAGCCCTGCAGAATCAGGCTCTCATACAGTTGCAGCAGCCAAGGAGAGAGCACAATTAAAGGTTGTACTGACCTGAAAACATCATACGGAGCCACCTGCTTAGAAATTAAAAGTAGAAAAATAGGAAATTTTAAAAAAAGGGGGGAGGCAGGAAGAGAAGAGATGACATCTCATTTGGTTTGAATGGATGTGTTGTGTTTAGGGATCAAAAGACAGATGCCAGACTTGTCTTTGATTTTCCAGATAGCTGAAGCCTAGGGCTCTGTTATTCTGGAACCAGATGTAGCAGAGCTTAGATGACTCATTGGATGAAAGCATAATAGATTTCAAGCAGTAAGGGACCATAGAGGTCATTTAGTCATACCATCTCTTTGTACAGATGAGGAAACTGAGGCACAGGAAGAAGTAACTTGCCCAAAGTCATTTAATGCGTTAGAAGGAGTACAAATCAAACCCAGGTCCTCTAACTCCAAATTGTATAGGGAAGCATTAACCTATCAAAGATCTGGACCAGTCTGCCATCTACCTGCTCGGCAGACACTATTCATAGGAACATGGATTTAGGACTGGAAAGGTATATGGAGGCTATCAAGTCCTCAAAGAGGTAAAATGAGTTCCACTTAAACTCAGAGCTGGCAGGTGGTCTTGTCTCCAGAGCCTTGGGTCTGGAAGGCTCTCTCCCAGGCCACATGGTGACAGGGGAAGGAGAGGCAGGAGGAAAAGGACAGAAGGGGCCAGAGAGTCAGACTTACAAGTGGAGAGGGCAAACAGAAAGGAAATACAGAGGGAGCTGAGAGCATGGGCAGCCCAACAACAGTTAGGAAAAGGGTTTTTTGGAATAGACTTGTGACTTTGTTGGCACAAGAAACTGCTTCTATCCATGCAAATCAGCACCTGCTCTGCAATGTGTAATCTTAGAGCATTGCCCAAGTGATTTGCTCAAGGTTATCCAGTATGTGGAGGCTGACTTCAAACCCAGGTCTTCCAGATTACCTCTCTATCCACTATCCCAGGATGAAACTCTAATGTTGCCCCTCCCCCTGCTCAACCCAAGTGAGCTCATCCCTAGCCTAAACTGACCCTGAGTTTCCTTCCACCTGCGGTCCTTCCCCCAGACACAACTTTTGCGGTCTGTCCTGGTGCAAATAATTGCTTTGTATGATGGGACTAATTCATTGTTGCTTTGAGAGCTATGGCTTAGAACTTCTAACCTGACCATAGCCGTAATGCAATCTTCACAGATGTTAGAATGTAAGCCTTTTGAGGGCAGGAATGATCTTACTCGCTTGTAATTATATCCCCTGATCTTTAGCACAATGTCTGAAACAGAATAAGTGCCTAGATAACTAGTTTGTGTGTTATATTGTTATATCGATATATCTATATGTATATATCTATATATATGTATATATATTGCACACACATATATACATGTATATCTATATGTGTATATATACACACATACATGGAGAAGGAAGGAGAAAGAGAGGTTTATATTACATAGAAATGTTCCATTTAAGTTGTATGTGTATGTATATATACATATATCACATAATTTAACATATATATAATTACAATATATACAATTTAAACAAACATGACCTATAAGATTTTCTATTTGTTGATATATCATACAGGACAAACCAGAGATTTTTCAAATATGAAATTAGCCAGAGGCAATGCCACATAACTTTTCAACATTTTACTTGAGGGATTTATTACGAGCCCTTCAGCTTTTTCCATTCCTGTCATGTCAAATGAGCAGATCCCTATTTATCATTTAGGAACGATGATTCAATGAATCAATAAGCACAGAAAGCCTGAGTTAGGGTTGTTGGTGAGATACAAAACAAACTGAAGACATCCCACGCCCCCTCAGGAATTTATCATCTAGTTGGCGAGCTAGAACACCCATCCAGGAAACAATGGCAGACATCTTTTGTGAAGCATTATGAGAAAATACATTCTGAGAGAGTGCAGGAGGGAGAAGTGGAAGCAACCAGGGAAGAAAACAACATGCAGCAGGAGGCAGATTTGGAGCCAGGCTTTAAAGAAGGTGAGAGACATAGATGTGTTGTTGCTGTCTTTAAGGTGACAGTTTACAATTGCATGCATTCAGAACACCAAATTCACAGCTTATCTGTTCAAGTACTGCTTCCTCTAAGAAGTCTTCCCTTACTACAACTACTCTGCTGCTGCTGCTACTGACTACTACTAACTACTCTTTTCCTGCTTTGATCTTCCACAGCACTAATTGTAGCAATTGTGAGGCCACTGATTTTGACATTTAATTGCTTTATTCTTTTACTTAACTTTCATCTTTGAATTGCAAGTGCAGCAGCTCTCAAAGAGGAGTGTCCCAAAGACCTTTTCAGGGCTTCTGGCAGGTCAAAAATGTTTTACAGTAGCACTGAGGCATTGTTTGCCTATTAAAATACGCTTCCTTTTTCCTATATAATCAACTGAGGCCAGATTTTAGTCGTATACTTCAACTATACATATGTGCATATATATGAATATACATATTTATATAATATTATGTAATACATTCATATAATATATATTTTATATATTATATCTTTTATTTATATTACACATAGTATTTATATAATATTTACATAATATAAATGTAAATATATGCAACATAATTACAGCAGATTGAATGCAGAAGCAGATATAAGACTCCTTAAGACAAAAATTAAAGAGATCTGCAAAAATCTGTAAAACAATGACATTCTTTCTCAATAATTTTTTTTGTTTTGGAGAATGTTATTTTCATAAAAATATGTTGTTCGTGTTAACATGGAATAGGCTTTTTATAGAATTCATAAATACTTTTTAAATTTTTTCAGTTTTAACTTATAATATGATAATTATAGATAGATATAATCCACACAAATAAAAGCTCTTTTGGGTGTTCAATATTTTTTTTCATGCAAAACGTGTTTCTATATTAGCCATGATGTCAAGAAAGAAAAGCTAAAAAAACCCCCCAAAAAAACCCCAATATGCTTCAATCTGCACTCAGAGTTCAACAATTCTCTCTCTGGAGGTGGATAGCGTTTTTCATCATGAGTCCTTTGTAATTGTCTTGTATCTTTGTCTAGACTGAGTAGCTATATCTTTCACAGTTGATTATCATTACAATTTTGCTATTACTGTATACAATGTTGTCCTGGTTCTGCTCACTTCACTTTGCATGAGTTCATATAAGTTTTCTCAGGTTTTCCTGAAATCATCCTGTTTGCCATTTCTTAGAGCACAATAGTACTTCATCACAATCCTATAACACAGTTTGTCCAGCCATTCTCCAATTGATGAGCATCTCCTCAATTTCTAATTCTTTGCCACCACAAAAAGAATTGCTATAAATATATGAGTCTTTTCCATATGTGTGTGTGTGTGTATGTGTACATATGTATATGTGTATGTATGTGTATATATGTGTGTGTGTATATGTGTGTATGTGTATGTAGTTTACCTTGCTAGAAAAAAAACCAAAACATAATACCCCCAAGACAAATAGAAATTATTTCTGATCTATCTATACTTCAATACACATGTACGATAAGATTTAACTCCTGCCAGAAATAGTGTTTTCTGATACTATAAATAACTTTCTTTTTCTTTATTCCTGCTTCCTTCCTTGAATGAGGATGAATGAGGCTGAAAACAGAAATCCTGCTTCTGATGCTTGTTACCTATATGACCCTGGGCATGTTATTGGGTTTCCTTGGCCTCAGTTTCTTCATGATCTATAATGTTCTGATCAAGGAAACATACAAAAAGATGTTGAAAATGGTTCACCTTTCCCCTATTAAAAAAATGGAGGTGTTTAGGAAGAGGATTAAGACAAAAGACAGCAAGCTAAGTACTTGGCCAATTTTAAAGGAATATTTAGGGTAAAAAAGTGATGGTGGAAAGGGAGGGACTCTTCAGTTTGCATCTAGTTAACAATCTTTTGTGCGCTCCAACACATCTTGTGTTGCTTCTTTTCCGTCTTGGCCAAATCTTACTGGACTGAGTGGCTGTAGACTGCCTGCCACTCCAACTATCAGACTGAGGTGACCTCATTCTTATAGTACAGACTGCTTGGCCTAAAGTCACTCAGTGACTCACAGTCTGTCCTTCATCCCCTCCCTCAAGCAAGGAACAAGCAAAAGGAAAGGACTGAAGAAAATCTCGAAGAACCGTTGGGTTTCTTTGTTTTTATTCAAGGCCTGCCTGGCCTTCCCAGTCTATAGCCCACACTTTGGAAAACTGAAGCTCAACCTGTGGTTGATGTCATTGGTGTTTGGTTGTGTCTGACTCTTCATGACCCCATATGGGTTTTTCTTAGCAGAGATACTGGAGTGGTTTGCCAGTTCCTTCTCCAACTCATTTCTACAGAAAAGGAAACTGAGGCAAACAGAGTTAAGTGACTTAAAGTTAGCGTCACAAAGCTAGTAAGTGTCTGAGGCCAGATTTGAACTCAGGAAGGTGAGTCTTTCTGACTCCAAGCCCTGCATTCTATCCACTCTGCCAAGCTCAACTTGCATTTAGCTATTTCTTTTCTAGAACTGACTTTCCACCAGAATTGTGTTGAGAGAGACACCAAAGGTCAACTACACAGGACCCAAGAGCTTTAGAGTGGCTAGTGCTGGCCAGAAGGGGCTCACTAGTTTGTACATTGTATAGGACCCATTAGTGATATGAATTTAATTAGTCAATACAATCGAAATTCTCCTCTTCCCCGTGCAGAATGGTGGACAATAGGCAACTTCTTTCTCTCTTTTCCTGCTACTTCCCTAAGTCATTGCCCACATGTTGTTGTTCAGTTACTTTTCAGTTGTGTCTGACTCTTGGTGACCTCATTTGGGTTTTCTTGGCAAAAACACTGGAGTGGTTTACCATTTCCTTCTCCAACTCATTTTACAGATGAGGAAACTGAAGCAAACAGGGTTAATTGACTTGCCCAGGGTCACACAGCTAGTAAGTGTCTGAGGCCAGATTTGAACTCAGGAAGATGGGTCTTTCTGACTCTAGGCCCTGCACTCTATCCACTGCGTCACCTAGCTACTCACCACTAACCATATAATGATGTTCTTGGAAGAATTCAAAGGTGGCTTATACAAGCTAGAAGACAAAACACTAAAAGCTGTATCATCTATGATAATTTAAAAAAGATATGCTTTCTCCTTTCCCATAGAAAGACAACCTGGTATAAGAGATAGAACACTCAACTTGTAGTCAAAAAAGAACTGAGGTTGAATCATGCCTAGTCATGTGTCATCCTGGGCAAGTCACTAAACCTCTTTGTGTCTCATTGTCTTCATTTGTAAAATTACTATGATAATACCTGGAGTGCTTACCTCACAGAATTATGAGGATCAAATAAAAAGTGCTCCATAAATTTTGTTAATTAAAAAAACATTAAAACCTACTAGGTAGAAAGCACTAAATATCAACTATTATTATCACTATTATTCCTCTCCATCTATATGAATAAATAGCTCCTCAGGTTAGACTAAATGTTGTGAGGACCTAATTTAAGACACACTTGCTTTCCAACCCCTTATAATTAAAGGGCTTAATTAAAGAAAGCATCCACATGCCTTGCCTCCACTTTCTCACCACCAACTCACTTCTCAGCCATTGGTATTCTGGCTTCAGACCTCATTACTTTATTGAAACTGCCTTCTTCAAGGTTACCAGAGATTGCTGAATTGCCCAAGAGAATCCTCATCCTTCTTGACCTTTCTGTGGTATTTGACACTTTTAACCAGTTCAATCTCCTAGACAGCCTCTTTCCCTGGGTTTTCCTAACATTGATCTCTCTTGGTTTTCCTCTTACCTGTCTACTCCTTCTCAGCTTCCTTCATTGTATCTTTATTAGTGATCGTGAGCATGCCCTAAGGTGACACAGTGGGTAGAGTGCCAGGCCTGAAGTCAGTAAGACTCATCTCCCAAAGTTCAAATCTGGCCTCAGACACTAACTAGCTATGTGACCCTGGGCAAGTCACTTAACCATTTGCCTCAGCTTCCTCATCTGTAAAAATGAGGTGGAGAAGGAACTGGTAAACCACTCTAGTATCTCTGCTAAGAAAAACACAAATAGGGTCACCAAAAGTTGGACATGACTGAAAGACAATGAGTGTGCCCAAAGGCTGTCCTGGGCTGCCTTCTCATCTCTCTCTGACCTCTCTTTTTGGGTGATTTCATTCAACTACCATGCATTCAACTCTAACCTCTATGCAAATGAATTCCAAATTTATGTTCTCTCTTAAACCTAATTTCATGTCACCAACTGACTATTCTACATCTCCAACTACATGTTCTGTAGGTATATCAATTCAAACTCAATATGTCCAAAACAGAACTCATTGTTTTTCTTCTAAAGATTTTCATTCTTTCTAACTTGATTCTTTTTCTAAAACAAGTTCTTTACTGAAGTTTTGGGTTTTTTATCACCACAATTCCCCTAGTATCTTTCTCCTTTACTTCCCCCTCATTTCACTGGTCACATATAACAAGTATCCAGAAAGAAAAATAAGGAAAGTGAAAAAGAAAGAAAGAAAGAAAGAAAGAAAGAGAGAGAGAGAGAGAGAGAGAGAGAGAGAAGAGAGAGAGAGAGAGAGAGAGGAAGGAAGGAAGGAAGGAAGAAAGAGAGAGAGAGTGAGAGAGAGAGAGAGAAAGAAAGAAAGAAAGAAAGAAAGAAAGAAAGAAAGAAAGAAAGAGAAAGAAAGAAAGAAAGAGAAAGAAAAGAAAGAAGGAAGAAAGGAAGGAAGGAAGGAAGGAAGGAAGGAAGGAAGGAAGGAAGGAAGGAAGGAAGGAAGGAAGGAAGGAAGAAGAAAGGATGACACAATTAGAATCACAGAAGACCTACCAGTGGTGACCCTAAAAGACAACAGGTTTTAGAACACTACATATCAAAGAGCAAAAGAACTGAGGTTGTGGCCAAGAATATCATACCTAGAAAAGCTAAGTATAATCCTGAATGGAAAAAATGGACACTTAATGAATTGTCAGGCTTTCAAGACTTTGTTAAAAAAAAAAAAAACAACCTGAACTTAATAG